CGAGCTGAAGTCCACAAAGAGGGCCCGTGCATAGGTCCCTGGGGAGTTGAGGTGTTGCAGGATGTAATGCAGTGCCATGTTCACTTCATCGTTCACTGACCTGTTAGACCAGTAGGCAAACTGCAGGGGGCCCAGCAGGGGGTCTACTATGTCCTTCAGGTGGGCCGACACCAGTCTTTCAAAGCACTTCATAACTACAGATGTCAGGGCGACAGGTCTGTAGTTGTTTCGTCCAATGATGGAGGGTTTTTTGGGGACTGGGATGATGGTGGAGTGTTTGAAGCAGGAGGGGGCTTCACACAGCTCCAGTGACCTGTTGAAGATGAGTGTGAAAATGGGGGCCAGCTGATCAACACACAATTTTTCACTGAGACACTTGATAGGGATCCTGTCAAAGTTTTTCCATCATGTGGTCCTGAGTCAAAACAACCAAAATAAAACACAAGTTTCAAATGTGTGTGTGTGCCTTTGTATTACTTACATTATGGGGACTGAAACCTGTTTACACACTCCCAGTGGGGACTCGGCAAATCACTGAATTTTAGGGTGGCAATATGGTTTAAGGTTTGGTTAAGTGTTAGGGTCAGGGCTAAGGTTAGGTAAGTAGTAGTTATGGTTAAGGTTAGGATAAGTCTACAGGAAATGAATGTAAGTCAAAGTAAAGTCCTCACAAGGAATGAAAACACAGCATGTGTGTGTGTGCATGAGATTGGAAACTCAAATTTCAGGTCCTGGACAGCTGATCATAGTCAGTTCATTCAGTTCTGAGTACCCTCATTCTCATGTGCATGATGGATGAAAAAAAGCCATTGTCAGTGCTAAAGCTATGTTTCACCATGGCAACAGTTAAATAAAGAACAGAGGCTCCATTTTAATCCAGTAGAGCTAGAAATATTAATTTTTGTCTATGCAAATTTATCTATAGAAAACAAAGAAGCAGCAGCGGAAGACTAATTTGTATGGAAAAAATCATTAAGTTGCATTTTATTCAGCATAGTCACAGACTTTATTATTAAAAACTTACATTATTTCCTTAATGTATGATAAAAAGCTGCTGGAGTCCTATTGTTTGTTACATTAATTTCTTAAATCTATTTATTTAGCTGTAACCGGATGGGCACAAAGCACTGGTGCCAGCAGATGATGAAATCAGACAAATAAGACTGTACTCTCATAGTCTGACCCAGGAAGTCTTTTAAAGATACAATCATTCTCATAAATATTCCCATAATCTCCCATAATTCAGATGTGCCACAGGCAGGGGTGATTCAAGGATCAGACCTGTAGGGGCACTCAGACCCCAATGAGAATTTGACATGTATATAGTGCCTTGCAAGAGTCCATAAATGTACTGTAAATATACCATAAAGCTACATTTTATAGAAATAAGGCATTTTCACTACTTTAAAAGGGGAGATAAAATGTTGAACGATGACTGGTTTTTGATTTTTACCTTAGACAAGATATGGCTTGGTAATCAAACTTAACATTCACATACTATATATAAATGAGATACCTGTAAATCATAAATCAAATTATTTGTAATTATTATTTATAATCACAATACAACAATTAATAAATATCACAATTATAAATAAATATTATACCAATTAATAAAACAGGTCAGAGCAAATTATCAGGGTGTCTAAAGGGACAGGATGCTATTTTAGCACATTATATCATTTGTTTGTGGTCATCTGTTTCTATGAAGCTATATTTGGAAAAGCAGATAAGCAGATAATAATTTAAAATTGAAGTATGTATTCTATGAAGAGCACTTGAACTGATTTTATTCTTGGCAGCCTCTTCTAAGGAAAATCTCTTCCTGCTATGCCTTAGAAAACCAGTCACTGGTCTGAAAACTGAATTGTTTGGCCAAAGCTTTAGTGTTTGAAGAAAACCTGCTCACTAATGGAGAGTAGTAGAAGTCAAAAACTATTTAAATATGTCTTTACCATCTTGTTAAATATTAAATCTAAGTTTACCTTTATAAATGTGGTCCATTTTGCAAAGCAGGCACTGTGAGGGCAAGCAGAAAGAAGAGTGTGGAGGGGCTTGGTCACAAGGACAGCAGTGTACTCAGCAAGAGGGTAATCACAGTGACAGCGAGTGGCTGAAATATGAGGAGGGGTGGGGAGGAAGATAAAAAGCTTCAAGCAAAACCCCAACCGAGCTTGGGTGGAGGACACTATGCGGTTGGAGAGAAAGGTCAAAAACATTTGGCCTAAAAGCATAAATGAAGAATGACAAAAATCAAACTTTCTCTCACACGGTATATGGTGCAAATGTCATCTTGCTTAATACACCCACATCCAACACCTACTGTAGTGGACATCAAATATTTATTTGGCATCAGCCAGTGAAATTTTTACTTCTTTTAACTAATCAGTCATATAAAACCAAACCAGCATGGCAGACATGAATAACAGAAAGTGGTTTAAGAAACAGTTCACCTTTTTTAAACATTTGTTTACTAAATTCACCCTAGTAACAGTTGTAGAGCTGTCCATCCTAATGAACAACAGAAAAGGAACATAGAGTAAATTGATGTCTGATGATAATGTTAATCTGATAGTTTACAGTATGTACTATTTGAGGAACCTTGCAAAGAATCAGAGAAGCAACAATGATTCTGGTGGTAGAGCAGATGATTCCCCTTAATAAAGACATTCAGAAACAGTAACCTTTAATAAAAATCAACATCACCAATCACTGAAAGCTTACTGTAGCAATAAGGAGGAGGTTGGGTTGATGGAGATGCTGTAGCAGCAAATGGTTTTGACATGTACATCTGATTTGAGTAATAAGCTGTTTTCACACATGAACCCTGGACTATGTCAATGAAATCAGGCCTGGACTTTGTCTCAAGTTGCCCTTTTACACATGTAGCATACAACAGGAGGTAGCCTGTGTCAGACATATTCTGGAAATACTGGGTAGGGCATGCAGGAGGCACAACGTGACCAGTGTAATTTGGACATA